TGCGCAACAATGAAGTTCTAAAGAATAAAGAACATAGAACAGTTCTAAACTCTAAGGCGATGGGGGTTCTTTCAGTAAACAGACAATACCAATGTCATTAATCCAAAACAAAGCTGTTAAATGTAGAAGATGAGAGGTTAATTCTCGAAGCAGTGAATTTGCGACAGCAGACCATTTGTCTACTGTAAGCGAGTAGTTTTTAAATAAAATTCTAATTTATAATGATGGATTATGACCGAAAACATTAAAATAGAGTATATTAAAAGTACTATATTTTACACACAAACCAAAGACCTAAGCTACAACTAAAGCTTTGATTCGATTTTTAAAGCTTAATAAATTTAAATGGTGGGGGATTTTGATATTTTTTTATAATTAAATTTTTTTTATTGTTTCATTATTTTCTTTATTTAAAAACGCGTTTTCATTATTTTTTAAAAAATTGAAAATTTTAAAAGCAGAAACTGTTGATATTATTACTGTAAGGCATTTCTTTCGAAGCATATCTCATATGGTTAACATTATATGGTACATTTCTAAAATGAAAAAAAAAATTTAAGAAAAAAGTGGGAAATAAAGCAATTTTCAAAACGATCTTAAACATACGTAAAAAAATATTTATTCTAAAATGTTCATAATAAATATTTTTTCTAAAATAGTTATAACTCCATATTTATTTAACAAAATAATATTAAATATCACAGGGGGTTCACCTTCGACGTAAAAAGTGGCAATCATCTGCCATTTTTTAATCGAAAATTTTTTTATTTTTTTTATTCGCACGATGGCCGGTGACGACCTTTAAATTTACCCTATATTCGATTACAGGGGAAACAAAGATGATGTAGAAAACAACTTCAACTAAATATGTTTTCATATTCATTCATGCTCTTTTATCTAATATCTAATGTAACTTGGTAAATTTCGTAAGCGTTTTTGTTTTTTCCTGGGTTAAATATTAAATTACAACATTCATTACGCATACTGTTTTGTTTTCATTTTTGATTCTATATATACAAATCACCTTATGTAGAAGTCTTTACAGAACACCCTATATGTATTACAAAAGCCCCTATATGTAGCATTGCTAAAATAACAGACTGAAATAAGGAAGTATGATAGTTGATAGAATTAGATCAATTCATCTTTGAACAACGCGAGAAAAAAAAAACGAACCACTCTGAATAGCATTTGTTTAAATCAGAGGTCACCTAAGTGGTCTATATAGACCCCCAGGGGTTTATTTAACAAAAGCAGGGGTCTATCTGAGACAGGGGGGGGCGAATGGGGGTCGATCCGAATCGGAAGGATCGNTTAACAAAAGCGGGGGTCGATCTGAGACAGGGGGGCGAATGGGGGTCGATCCGAATCGGAAGGATCGATTGTGGGTTGGGGAAAAAAAACAGTTCTCAATACGCAAATCACACATACCTAATTAAGTATGTAAAATTTGTGATTTTTGTTTATAATTGACTCAATATCAGTTTCTTTATAAAGCATAAATTAATAAACGTATATTTATTGGGGTGAAACAAGTATTTATGTACCAGCGCGCAGTTTATAAGTCATATGCATATGTGCGCTTGTCCAAATGTCACGTGTGACGAGCATTGACGTTACAAATGCAAATATCATACGCAGTTTCAGCTATCTTTGCAAACTGTGTTGAATATTTGCAGTGTCGTTCTTAAAACTTTTATAGTTTTGGATAATTAGATATTGTTTCGATAAAACCATTCGTTTGGTTTAGATATCAATTTTAATTATCAATGCACAAAAAAGAAGGTAAGCTTTAATAATATGGATTAGTACAGCCCGCGACAAAACTATAGCACACTTTGTATTTTTTTACGAAAATTACAAAATTGACCAATTTTGACGAAAATTAAAATTGACCAATTTTGAACCCAATATAGCGAACCTTGCAAAAAAACACCAGGCACACCCATCTCATTGATCAAGAAGCAGTAAATCTTTAGTTACTTTACTTATTATATCTACTTATGCATAATTACTTATTATTTAATAATAAGGTATTTAAATTTCAATATTAATATATTTTTCATAAAACTATTGTTACACAATGTACTATTACTTTAATAAATGTTTAAAATCATAAAATAAATGTACAAACACAGTATCTAATAGAGTTTTATTTTAATTAACAGAAAATTACTTTTGTGGGGGACGATGGAGATTTCGAAAAATTATATAGGGGTCGATGATCAAAAAAGTTTGGCGACCCCTGGTTTAAATGATCGGATCTTCACTTTCTACGACTTACCGGTTCGACCACAAATATGTTAACTTGTTAGTGCAGATGATATTTTAAGTTGTGAAAAACACAATCAAACAATACAAACACACTACACACACTACAAACACAAAAACATATCTTCTCAGAATAAACGTACCTTTTTTTTCAACGACTTGGGACATCTAGATCCCAAAACATAAATAGCCTCAATATCGGATTTATGGTCCCAATAGTTTGGTCAGGAGAGCGATGCAAAGTTTGGACCCCTTAATGTTAATTTTACTTTTTTGTGTATTTCGCCATATTTCGAGATATTTTTAAACGAATTAAAAAATTTCTGCCGTCGATTATACAATTCGTTTTTTCCTATATACTTCCATGCAAAAATTAGCCATTTGTTATTTTTTATATTTTATTTAATAATAGCCAAACAGTTTTGATTTGATAAACAACTTTTACATCACTTAAAAAACGCAAATTTGCATGGCAAGACAACAAAAAAAAATTGAGCGTAATCGGTCAAATAACTCCCGCAAAATTAAATTTACAAAAAGAAAAAAATACTTTAAATATATTTAGAGAAAGTACCTTTTTGAGCCTCTTTTCGTAATTTAAAATATCATCTACACAAATTAATAAGCATATTTCAGTTCACCTCCTCGTTGAGTTTTAGAGAAGTGAAGATAGTGATTTTAGTTTTAGAAAAGTGAAGATAGTGATGATTGAGTTTTAGAAAAAAGAAGATAGTGATGATTGAGTTTTAGAAAAAGGAAGATAGTGATGATTGAGTTTTAGAAAAAAGAAGATAGTGATGATTGAGTTTTAGAAAAGTGAAGATAGGATCGTTAGGGTCGGTCAAAAGCGGTCATTTTTATTCGGCTCTATTCAAACTTCAAAAACATTTTCTTTTCTGCCATTCATTAAAAACAATTAAGATGTAAATGGGAGCCTTTGCTTTTGAGTTTTACGCTAAATTTAAGTTTCAAACTTCAGCATCTTTCTCGAACAGAAATTTCTTGATTTATTATTTCCAAGTTTCAACAAACTTTTATCCCATATTTATCAGAGTAAACGAAAAAATTCTAAACCTTCTTTTAACTTTTCAAACCCTGGATATTTTGAAAAATTGCTTAACTTCTCTCTCTTAATGAGTGAGTTTTTGGCTAATTTAATTTCAAATGAACCGTAAAACTTTGATGAATCAATAACTAAATTTTAAAAAAAAGCTTTTTGATTTTTAACGTGAATGATTGATAAGATTTATTTAGAAATCAGTGTTTTCGTAACAATTTTTTTAAGTTTATTGAAATAATATTAAGTTTCTACTACTCTCTCGATGTGTTATATATTATTTATTTTTCTTACATAAAAACAGATTTTTCTGTTTCAATAAATTAGAGAATCAGAACATTTTAAGTTGAATAACTGAGTGTGTCAAGAAGTTAATAAAATTAAAGAAGTATAAAAATTTGTTGAAAGTGTTGGGATAAAAGGCTGTGATAACTAAATTCATTAATAAATTTCAATACAAAAATATTTTCACCATTTTTTTAAATTAAAAGAATATTGAAAAAATCATTAAAATCAGCCAGTATTGTTTAAAATAGCGTTTCAAGCAGGTGATATCGGTGATAGGTATCATTAGTTTTAAGGTTATATGAATTTTTCAACTGAATCATCAACACGAACTTTGGTCCTTATCACCGATAAGTTCTGAAGTTTAATTCGTGATGTATTGTCAGAAATATCGAAAATATATCGTGTTATATATATTTTTCCAATTTAACTAATTCATGTTATTTTTTCATAGCTATATTTACTAATTTATTTCGTAACTCAACTATAATATATCAATGTCCATAATAACAATTTATTCAATAATTACATTCATGCATGATATTCATGGTATTATTATTTTGATGGGTTATTTTAACCATAATAATCTTGATAGAATCGTATTAGTTGTTTATAATTATCAATAATTATCACGATGTCGTAATTGGTACACCTATGTTAATTATCAGTAGTGAATTAGAAACTGGCTCTAATCTTACATGTAGGTGAACTTTGAATGACAAAAATATTAATTAATAGATTTTTCATCTTTCTTTATAACCGTTGTTTTCTTATTTTAGTATTTAACTGAAATTTCACTTCCTCAAATCTGTGCAACCGATTTTCTTTTTTTTTTTGAATGAAAAAATAAGATTTTTCTGCAATAAGAAACTGAATGTACTGAATAGTAATGTTGTACTAAATGATAATGATATTTCTGGCATAAGAAACCCGTTATTTTGTTTAATAAAACCAAATTATATGGTATTTAAATGATTCATGTGCTAGTTTTTCCGTTCTTATGGCAATGGCTTACCAGAAATTCAAATTTTCAAAATCTTATCTCTTATTGTAACACATTAAGTAAAAAACACTAAACTGGAAAGTAAATTTTACCGAATAAATGGTTTATATGCCATGTTCTAAAGTATCAAAATAATCTTACCAATTTTTACCATATTTATCAATTTTATCACAAATTATATAAAACATACTTTTTACTGTTTATTTTATCAAAATCAGTCTCAAAGCGCTTTGAGATGTGATTGATCATATTTCTTTTCTCAGTGTACTGAAACCAATAAAATCAAAATTAAGAAAATAAAATTGAAATCAACAATTTAAGAGTATTTTTTTAAAAATATACATATATATAATCTAGTATTAAATATATGTGTTTTTTTTTCAGAGCACACTTCACATAGGAGTTCCGGAAGGTACTTCAATCACTGATAATGATAACACTGCTGAGAATACAAAGGTGATAATTCAACAAATAAGAGCTTATTGGAAATGTTACGAAACTGTTCGGACAAGGCCTATGCCGGGTGCAGCGGGGGATAAAATTCATGGTAAGTCACCATTATTTTTGTATAGATTTATGGATAGCCTATATATGATTCTGATTTATTACTCAGAGTAAATTTTACTCCCTAATTCTTAATTTATAACTTATAAATTACGTTTTTTTCCAAAAATAAGTACGTATGAAAATTTTTACATGACATCGAAAAGAACTTGAATAGAAAACTCAGACAATTTGTTACAAAATACAAATTTTGTTTCTAACCAACCATTTTTCATACTGAATTTCATAATCATCAATTATTAAAATATAATATTTTTCACTTATTTGTAGAAAATAATGAAAAAAGCATGAATCATCTGTTTTATAATAAATTTTAAGTCAAAAGGTTAATCTTAATAATAAAGTATTGATAATTTAAGAGAAATACTCCAAGAATAATTATTTTATTTAAACAAGCTAAAAATTGTGTAATACACGAAAATTTTATTAAAAAATCTATAACCTTAAACAATCAAATATTAGATGTAATATTTCTTTCCTGAAAGCGTTGAAAAGCATCTGACAATTAAAAGGGGGAAACAAGCTCAAATATATAAGTTTTAAGCATAAAATTTGACCAAAAATCTAGTATTATTAAAAAAAATCAAAGATGGGGAGTAGTATTTGTTTTCTGACTAAAGAAAAGCGCCTCACAATCTGAATGGGTAAAATAAACTAAAACATATGTAATAAGCAAAAATTTTGATCAAAAAATCTGTAATAATCAAACAAGATCTTAAATAATTAAACAAGAAGTATTACAGAAGTATTTGTTTTCTCAAAATACTGGAAAATACCTCAGAATGTAAACGGGAAGCTGAAAAATATGTAATATGCGTAAAATTTGATCAAAATATCTATTATCTTAAAACAATCAAAGATTAGGAGTAATATTGGTATTCTGAATATACTGAAAGGCATCTCATAATCTAAATAAGGGGAAGGGGATAAAAATGTGGCTTATACAACTTATTGATCATTGCAAATTTACTATCTTGTCATTAATATTAACTACCTCCTAAAATGAAAGACGCCCACTGAGCTGAGTCAATTCCAATAAATAATTGTTTCAGAGAAAACATCACTGTCAGAACCCTGCGTGGCTAAGATCTCATTATTGTACCACGTGATTCCTTCCTTCTCGCAAATCAACTACTAAAAATGAGTTTCATCTAATAATAGATTATGCGTCACAATTACCTTTATAAAAGGTAGGAAACATATTAAATGAATTTCAGTGTTATCCTGATGAAGTTATTGTGTTTACAGAATTTACTGATGGCTGAAAATGATTAATTTTCTTCGTTTGTGTAACTTCATTTCTAGTGAATTGAACATCATTTATTATTTCGATACATGTTAAGGGTCTCATTACTATTTTCTGTTGTTTCAGAAGAATATATGTTTCTTCCATTTCTGTTTAGTTCGAATATTCAGATTTTCATCTAAGTGTAAACACACTGTGTATATTTTAGAAAACTATTCCAAGAATTTTTCATTATTAATATGAAAATCTTTCATGTCGACTAGCATTAAAGAACACAAATGACTTTTAATAAAATAAAATAAAAATAATTTATCAGGGAATTTACAGGATCCTTCAATGAATCTGGCCCCTATTTAGAAGAGTATATATATATA